ATACTGAGAGATAAGCTTTCAAAGAAGTTGGATATTCCAGTTACGAAACCATTGGTCCAAGAATTATTAAATGGAATTGATAAGCGATTTGATTCAGTACTAAATGACAAAAAGATCATTGCTGCTGCAATTCTTCACCCCAAATTTAAAGAAAGCTGGTCTACTGATTGTGATGTTATTGAAAGAGGTAACAAATACAATACAACTTGAATATGAAGTGAATTAGTAAGGATTCCCATTATAGACAGCATGGATTTATTTAAACTTGTGGGATTTGTTTATAAATTTTAGGCATTTCCTTCATAAATGAAAAATTAGAGGGTTTGGTAGAACCAGTAGTTGATGAACCTGGACAGTCCTCTTCAGAGGATCAAGATATGAGACAGATTTCTTCCAAGCTAAGAACAGGAGATCAAGTGATTGTACTTTAAAGTAATTTCTTGAGAGTCCTGTTGAAAAACTTTGTGATTATGCAAGATGGCCCTTGCTTCGCAAACTCTTTATTGAGCTCAACACACCATTGCCAGCCAGTGCTGCTTGTGAAAGACTTTTTAGTGCTGGTGGATTGATCTTCAGCCCACATCGCTCAAGCATGACGGATACAAATTTTGAAAATTGCATCCTGGTGAAATGTAATAAAGACTTTCTTTGAAGATGTGATAGATACAAATTTTATATGTAAAAGATAAATATATGCTATTAAGTATGACAGTTGGAAACTTTGAAATTTGCAATCTTGTGATTTGTGAATAAAGAATTTGTTTAAATCTGTTCTGACTGTATGGTTGCTGCATTCAGTACAAAGCTAGTTTTGAAAAATTTGCTGTATTGTATAATTGGGTGAAAATACAGTAAAGTCAGTGAGTAACTCAGTCAGTCTAAATTATAATTTTAATCAATATAAAATGTAACTTGTAACTTGTAACTTAGTTACAAAAAATATATTGTAACTTTGTAACTGTAACTAGTTACAATTTGCCTTCTGTAACTTGTAGCGGTAACTAGTTACCTTTCTGGCAACGTAACTGTAACTGTAACTAGTTACAAATAAAATGTAACTGTAACAGCACTGCGAAAAAGATGAGAAAATGAGACAAAATAACAATATGATGATGAATTTTTAAAGCTTCAAGATAATTATTAAAGCAATGTTTTAGTAAGGAAATTTGTGGAAATTTTTAGTCCTGCTCGGCAGGACAAGCAGGACCGCTAGCTAAGTCACTGACTACACCACTGAGGGAAAACTGTTTACACTGTAAAAATGTTAATTTGGCAAAGTCAAGATTTGAAGAAGAAAAAAGAGCCTGGACAAACACAACGTGGACTCTCTTCCAGCATTGGCGAGGCGTAGGCGATACCTTCGAAAAGATGGTGGTGTGTAGCTTCACCCTAAGCCAACCGATTGCCCAGATTGGGTTGCATAGACGACTAAAAATTTGTTAGTAAAATATCTAGGATAAAAACTTTCAAGGGCAGACTAATTATGTCAGTGGTATTTATTTACAATACACGGTTTTCAATTGCACTGAAGATTTCTGCACCTATACTCAATAGACTACAGTACACAGTATATAATGCAATAGTATTCTCCGGAAACGACAAAACACGGACCCCACGTCCGTGGACTACCATCGTGGACCAGGTCCATGGACTACACTCATGGACCACTTTTAAGGACCATTTTCATGGACTACTCGCGAACTGCCGGAATTTGGTAGTTTCCATGATTGAATTCTTGACTGTGCATGGAAAAATGTGCATGAGTCAAGTTCCGTCATTATATATGATCATGGAAACTCAATGTGAAGTTCTAAATCCATTCACTATATGACCATTCTAAAATATAAGCTGTACAATTATGACTTTTATAATGCAAAGTTTCCAAATATATGCCCTTAAAATTGGTAGATTATTTCTTTTCGATCACTACAGAAAATGCAAGAAAAGCAGTAATCGAGCTTCAAAAATAAATATTTTTGGGAGAGGCTTTTGAATGTCAGGACCTCCAGTCTTTTGAATGTCATTGCAATTTACAACTTCTACAGACTGTACAGTTCAAGTATTTTTTTCAACATTAAAATTCGAATAATTCAGTAAAAAAAATCCTATATAAATTCTAAAATATTCCTATATTTTTTCATGAACCAAATTTTTTCAGATTTTTACTGAATTAGTATTCACTGTACATCAACTAAAACTGAACTGATTGTGAAATAAATAACGGAAATGAATAATGAAATTGTGTTGCACTTCGAATGATTGTGGTTCCCGCAAATCTCCGCTTCCTAAACTTGGGTTAATAGAGTTTGGTCCATTGTCCAGTCGGCAAAATTTCGCGAGTGGTTCACGAGTGTAGTCCATGGACCAGGTCCACAAAGGTAGTCTGCGGACCTGGGGTCCGCGTTGTTGCCATTTCCCAGTATTCTCTGACAGTAGTAAACATTTTGAAATTCTTTAGTCTACATTTCAACTAGATTGTAGTCGTAATCCTGATGATGACTACAGTCTAGTGGGAACGTAGAAATAAAGAATTTCAAAATGTTTACCATTTTCAGTCTAACTATTGCATTGTACATACAGTTTTTATCAAAATACTCAAGTGGTTCCCATAATACAGTACATATTATTACCAAATAACTGTAACATCAAGATATTAACAGTTTTGCTCTACATCAGACTGTAACTGAATTAAAGTAAAATATATACCTTTGAAATATACAATGTGAGAGCTATTTGAAAGATATTTTGGAAGCTTTTGAAAGATATGTAGAC